CCCTTTTAATTTATTTTATTTCCAAAACTAGCCTTCCACTTTTATGAAAAGTTGCGATTTTTTTGAAAAGTTGTGACTTTTATGATAGGTTGTGACCATTCCGAATGGTTGCAACTTTTCCAAAGAGTTGTGACCTCTCCGAAAAGACACAATAAGCATTTGTTCACACTACCCTTTGTTGTCTATAAATAGAGGAATTTTCACTCATTTTAAAACAACGAAAATTCTTAACTTCTTTTTCTATCCAATTAAATATTCATGTACTTTGCTCCTGTTGAGTGGCTCACTGACACCATTGTTTTTGTATCAATACAGCAGTGAATAGAATTGTTCTTGAGAGGATCTAATCCCTTAAACCTCGGGTACTTGAGGGATATAATTTCCTTAAGGGGACATTGTGCATTCAGTGGGCTCGATTTTTTCCTTTCTCTTTCATACTATTATTACAGATCCTGGTATGTTTTTTTACAGTCATTAATTTATGCTTATGTTATTAATTGTTGTTTTTGAGTACATGTTTTAAACTTTGTTGTTTATGTTTCTGCAAAGTTATTGTTATAAGTATTTGTTAGTACAGATTAAATAACACACGTTAATTGAGTATTCATGTAAGTTTTATCTACTGAAATTGTTGAAGGTACAGTAAAAAAATTCCTTAGAGATCTATACTACCATCTCTTGAAGACAAAATTCAAATTTGGTAGGCCATTGTAAGGACATAAAGACCTTAAAAACTTTATCGCACCTTGATGTCCAAAGTGAACCAGAAAAAAAAGACAAAAATTAATAAACTTTTGACACGGGTTCAAGGATGTGTCGGATGACCTATAGAGGAATATGACTAGACTAGAGCCTCTTTTAATCTCAAAGACATAGACAACTACACAATAATTAATTGCTCATATTCAATATGAAGTATGGACCGATTCTCAAGTTTACTGCAAATTGTAAATACTTTTCTAGAAGTAATAGATGTGTTTCTCGACACTGCGATTGGAATAGAAGTGTAGTTTCAAATTGAACTTCATCACTCTGGTATGTTGATTTTTAAAAAACACTCAAACAAACTAAATAGTTCTATGTAATATTTTTC